AAGAAGAAATCCAGTTTTGGGTGGGAGGAGGGGGGGGGGGGGATTAGCATTGAAGAAGCTGTAATCGTCACATTTGGGCACACCACACTTCACCATGATGGCTACTAAACACCAGCTCTGGACAGTATTGACACTAACCTTTCGAACTCCTCTTTGTTTTACTCCACCAAGGCCAAAGTCAGTCTGGAGACACTTCATACAAGCCAATTACCCCAAAGGCTTCCTGCCAGAGTAACGCTTTTATTTACATTCCCTAAGAGCCTCTCTATAGCTTCAGAAGCATAAGTGCAATCTGCAGCTTTTCCGCTTTAATTTTGATATAATACAGGTTTAGTTACCTAAGCCCATGGATGGTAATTATTGATTTACGCAGAATATGGATGGACTAACGCCAAAACTTTTTTTTTTTCCATTTAAAGCCGTGTTAACTAATGTAAACATTGTACGGATGCCCTCTGAGCATCTCCCAGGCTACAGTACACTGAGCTGTGTTAGCATAAAAAAATAAATAAAGAAGAGAGCGAGAGAAATTTCAGATGCCTACACCTTTGCAGATTCACTAACTCAGAAACATATGCACAGATATGAACTTGACAGGAATTTTGATTGTACCACAGCAATCTGTGGTACAGCAATTTTTTCCCCAGTTTTTCTAAATGCTTATCTAAATTTCAGGTTACTTGATTGCGTCTATATATCTGGAGGCTTAAAGTTTAAATTAGACTTTAAAATTTGATGCTAGATAAAAATGTCGTCTTTTCTTTCTCACAAAGTAGTTTGGCTGGTATGTATTGCAAACTCGTTGAATCATTTACAAAAGATGATATCGCTGGGGTAATAATATTAAAATAATAAACTAAATATTGGCAGATATATAAGATTTCCTTCTTATCTCATCGCAGTGGAATGCACAAGGAAACAAAACCGGATAAAATCACAACCTCTGACAGAAGAGGAAAGCGTTGCTAACACAATTTAAATTAGCGGAAGACCGGTCCCAAAAAGTATTCTGATTTCACAATGATATGTTGTGGAATACAATCTCCCACTGTGGTGAAGCCAATCATACCCAAAGCATGGTCTTGTGAACAATGTAATTGCATTATATGATTGAATTACTCCTTATGTAAATCAGTATCAAAGCCTTACCAAAGGTATTTTATTGGAGTCCTTTATGACTCTGATTAATATTTTATTACATGTGAGCAATTCTAAAAGCGTATTTTATAAGAAAAGTTAAGGAATTTATATATTTAAAAATGCATTATACATGTGGTAATATATCCTTTAATACAATATCCTTTAATTGTGTTTATAATCACCATAATTTAGGAAATGGTGCAATAACAAAATTTAGATTCACTAAGGATTTTAAAAATGAGAAAGTAATGTGATATCTGTGAGCATTATGCATTTTACTGTAGTGGAATATGTTATGAACCTGTGACAAACGCAAAAAAAAACTCTAACCGAAATATAGACCATATGATTAATTCAATGGGCTAAATTAATATTTTAACCTTTTTTCCTCTTTTTAAAGCAGTTATTAATAGGTTTAAACTTCCCTCACATATTTGATCGTCTGCATAACTGGCTTCCCAACCATACATTCAACGGTGCATATGCTAAACAGATTAGCTGTTGCTATTTCTACCTGCTATTTCTTTTGCGCAGTATGTATGTTGCACAGTAGCAGTACATTTTCCCGGGTATCAGTGCAAAAGTCCTTCATGTACTCAGCTGCATGTGGTCAAGAGCATGTGCCATCTGACTCAAAGCACCATATGCCTTACAGTTACAAAAAATGAGCAGGTCCCTTACCGTCTCTCAGTTTTCTCGATCGAGGAAAAGTCTTCCTCTGTGTGGTTTTAAAACTTTATACACTATATGCTGCTGCTTATTAAATCAAGTAGCCTCTAAATTTATCTTTTAAATGCAAAATATATACATATATTTCATTGTAATCATTTAAGTGACAGAAACAATGAAAACTGCATCAATAACAATGATAATGATAATAAATCACCATTTTCCATACAATTATCTGAATACGGCATATATTTTTTTCCCACGGAATACATGTCTTTAATGCTTAGGGCTCAGATGGAGTTTACATGTTTGCATCACAGTAAAACCAAATCCCTTTACAAGTGTTGCATGTCTGCAGCATTTTAGACTGTCCGTTTGCCTTATTCTCCATGTAGAGGTGACTGTCTATGATCTTGGTATCTGGCATTGTTGATGAGATCTTTTCCAAGGAAGGTATACACCTGCCCATAAGGTTCTGACCAGCTGTCCTGCTCGAAAGTCCATTTCAAGGTGCGATGCACTTGTCACGAGTCCACCAGATGTTCATTAGCTAGACGGCCCTTTCATCTTCTGGATAACAATGGCCAGTAAGTAGCCGGTGTCCTTTCATGCTGGAACATCTTTCGTCACGTTCTGTTTGGCTTGTCTTAAGTCAGAACTGCGGTGAGGTAGGTCACTTCCCCATAGCCGTAGGTGTTGTTAGTCATTATGCTCAGAAGACAGCGTGTGAAGCCTTACATGTTTCTGTCATCACCCAAAAGAGCGGTAAATAATCCCAGACTGATGAGGTGAAATTCTGAATATTAATGTTGGCAAGTAGCCGAAAAGGTGAAGAGATTTCATCATGCCAAGGGTACTGATTTTAATATTTAATATTAATATTTAAGATTGATTGGAATTAAAGGAGGTCATCTGAAATATTTGAAATAAATAATATGCAGAAAGAAGGATTGAAGTTTTTCTTTTTATTATTATTATTATTAGAACCCAATAAATGTTCATGGGATCAGTTTCTGCAAATTCCTTCTTTTGTTTCATATTACTGTACATATATTGGTTATATATGGTTAATTTTTCATTGACTAGAGCTTTATAAGACATGCACACATACTACGTAATGCATACAACCTCATTTGTCAGGGCAAGTCAATATGAGAGGTTAAAATATATTAGGGAGCACACAATGTTCCTTATTTTTTTGCCGGACTAAGCGGACAACAGGTTGGCTTGTTGCAATCCCCTCTCTGCATGAAACCAATTTTCAGAGAAAGCCCATTGGACTTCGACAAATGGAGGGCAGCCACGGACGTGAATAGAGGTCATGCCGGCCAAACGTTAGGCATAGAATCATCCAGCGGGTGACAACTGGAATGCATCGCAATATTGTTTTTGCATCTGTGGTGGTTCCATCACACCGATACCTGTTAAAGTGCATCGATGGAATTGTTCATGGAAATGTTGAAAGACCGTGCTATACATGAGTGTCTAGCTCATAAAAAAACATAAGCGATAGACCACCACAGATATTTATTAAATGTTTGTCTATTTACTGTTGTTTAAGAGTGGTAATATTCAGTGGTCAGGTTGACATGAATGGTTTGAGATTGATAGGTGTAAGTACTCTCAACATAAGACAACATGCCACTTCTCTAAATTGGAAAGCATCACTTCTATGCAGAGCGAAAATTATTTGTATAGAATGTACTTTATTGCTTTCCAGTGTTACATGTGCTTGCATATTGCATATTGATTTTTTGTTATTTTTTCCAGGGTTTACTGTGAATGAGAGCAGAAAATAGCCATCTTATTTATTCAAAAACAACATGGTTAGCTTTAAATGCACTTTAGTAGTATAGGCCTATATAATAAAATAAAACAATTTAGACAACAACATAGGCTGTTGCTCCTTAACCAGAGCAGGTTAACTAGGAGGCTAACCAGACAGCGGCAGGATAGGGTTGTTAGTGTTTGATAATCTCTCTCTCTCTGTGTCTCTCTCTCTCTCGCCCTCTCTCCCCATATCTCAGCCGCTGTGATTTTCATCCTGCCAGGCGAAATGTTATCTATTGCGGCTTAATTATTACTGTTCACCTTGAGTCGCAGAAATCCAAGAGGCCCACCTAGGGTGTCCTGGAAATGCCAGTTCCCCTCCATGCTGACCAATCCGCCTCAGGTCACAGCAGATTTAATGCCACATTTAGAATATTTTGGCTAAAAAAAACACTTCATATCAGATAGTTACGTATCAAACACCTTCGCTAAAAATAGAGGAAAGAAATACAGTATCATATTAGATCATGGAAGCTGTCATATACCTATTGCATCTCTTTAATCTTCTTGTTTTTATTATACTTTGATACCATATTTTTTAATGGGTGCAAAATCACCTTCTGCCTTGGTAATTAGTGACAAGCAAATTTAATAGGTTTTGTACGAGGTCTTAAAATGGATAAATACAGTCACTGAAGCCCCAAATGAATCTGAACGAGACCCAAATGATTTATTTAGCTCAGATGCCTTCAACCATGCTCTCAGTTTGAGAATTCAGCATATCAACAGCCCAAACCCAGTGCTGTTTCCCAAAAACTTTGCAACGCTACGATTGTAACTTCAGAGAGATTCCAATATGATGATTAAGTATCTGGGATAAGCCCCCGATCCTAGCTATGCCCCCGGATAAATATATAATTTTATTCATAATATTTTTGTTCTATAAATCACTCACAAAACAGCTTACTGCTGCAGTGTGAGTGAATCTGCTGTATGTAATAGCAAATTGTACTGTGATGTACTTTTCATATGGTGATATCTAGCATGAACATTCACTGCATGTTCTTTTTTATTCTGAAAATCTTCTTCATGTTCATCCTAACTTGCAGAAGGAAAGGCATAATCTTCTGAAGAAAATGACCTAAGAAACAAAAGCCTGAATTTATTCTCATTCAATATTCAATATGGCGATAATGATGATTCATTCTGCAGCCAAAAAAATAAAAAAATGCTTTGGAATATTCCAGAACGGCGCTGCTCCAAAAGATTCAATTTTTCTTCCTTTAGATTTTCAGATTGCGTGCAAAATTAGATTCATCTCTGCGTGAAGAGAGAAACACGGGGTTTTTGAAGGTAATCCAAGATGGCACGTCCCGCTTCCAATCCGTGCTTTAGGTAGAGATGAGAAATATATGATTCACGGTAGTCTGTTATTTAGTGTTACTTGATGCTAATATTGGTGCTGGTGATTAATGCTTGCCAAGCAAAGTTTTCCTTGCTTATGCGCATTATTTGATTGATTAGACGATAAATTTAACGTAGCACTTCATACATTAGCAAAATTTCAATAGAGCAGTCAAGGACTTTACTGTCAATATGGAAATGGTTTGAGAGCATCAAGTCTTGGTTGCTTAATAGACATAGTGACCTTGTGAGGCAACTGAACACTTTAGAGTTTGCATACATTTCTGCTTGACATATGACTGAATGGGACAGCAGACTTTTTCTATCCATTCTCTTTCCATTTTCCCTCCTTCTCTTCCGTGGCACCTATTTAAAAGCAACAAAGGAGCAGCATTTACCTCATTGCCATGCATCTCAAACCTGACTAATGTGCCCTTTCATCAGAAAGTGGCCCAGTACAGAAAATAACCTCATTTAACTCTGTTCTCGCCTGAAGTCCATTACAGTAAAACGCAGAAGGTTGAATACTCTATATTTAATCCTTGTTAAAACTGTGTTTACTTCGAAATGTGCTAACTGGGTGCCTTTGAAATTCCAGGTTAGATGCATAGAAAATATTCCAAATATTACTGTTTTTGTTTCATACTTGCAAAGACACACATACATGTACTCTCTCTCTCTCTCTCTCTCACACACACACACACACACATCGTGGGATGGTGTCGTAGGTTCTGTCATGTGTGAGAAAGGTGACCCCCAACCTAGGTAGGGTAAGGGGTAGATGTAGAGGCATGGAAACTTTGCATATATATGTACATTATTATGCATTGCATTATACAGAATGTAATTGAATAAAACCCAATGAAGCAAACAAATATACAAGCTATGTAAAAATAACAGTCTTTCATATAGGGTTTGTTTATTATTAACATTACTTACAATAATAGTATCTCCATTATAGGCTAATGTCATACTGTGAAATATGATTATATAAGCATTTTAACTATGAAAATTATTTTGAATCTTCTTTAGCTGCAGCTATAGTGTTGTATTTCTCCTTTAATACTTCCAGTATATTCTGCAGACTGGGGGATTTAAAAAAAAGTTGTCATATTTTAAAACTCTCTAAAGAATCTTGTAGCATTTTTTGACCTTGTGTGTCATCTTGCAGTCTGCAGGTAGGCTGTCGATCTCACTGTGAAGTATGAGAACTGGTATGACCCTTTGACATCCTGGTCATATGGTCTTAAAGCAAGTCTCCTTAGTTTAGTTTCTGTTCCTTTCCGCTCCTCAAACATGGGGACCTCAAAGCTCTTGTCAGTCTGGTCAAACATGCTGATTATATTTGTTCAGCTGCAGTCTGCTGTCCTGTTTGAAAATGCACATCAAAGTCATCTTCTATCAGGGGAAAATAAATCGTGCTCTGTGTCATGTCTGAATCTGGGACACCTCTGATATGTCATATTGAGCACCTATTCGAGAGATTAGATGCTCACACCACAGAAGACCTTTGTGGGTTACATATAAAGCTAACTTTACAGTGCTACTTTTTTCCCCCCCCACTCTCCTCTGTATAATGATGACTTACCTCTCCAGCTACAAACCTCTATAGACAGAGGTTAAGCACCATGCCTTTGGGAGAGAGGCTAAGGGGGACCAGACGCGTGACTGTTAATATGTGTAAAAAAAAAATGCCAAGTGTACACGATAACTATTAAATGGTGAGAGCGGAATTTATAATGGTTTTCTTTTCATGTTTTCATATAAACGTTATCAACATCGAGTAAAAAGTAATTTAGTACTGTTTTAATGGCAACAGTAATTAAATATACACATTATATACTACACATATGGGGTGGCACTGTAGTGCAGTGTTTACATGTGTGAGTGAATGGTATGTGATGTCAGTGTGGCCTGCGATTGGGTTGGCATCCATTCCGGGGTTATTCCCTGACTTGCACCTGCAGCTTCCACCATAGGTTCCGGACCCCTGGTACTCTGAATGGATGGATGGATGGATGGATATTACACATATATAGCAATGTCAAAACATTCAAGGGACATCCCCCACTCTAGGGAAGTCCCCCCTCCCCCACACAGTCTGTTGTCTTATGTGAACACACATTAGCGATAGGCAGTCATTAGCTCTGGTCTATTTTCATTCAAGGGGCCCCTGGTTTAAGAGAGGTTGATAACCTTTGATGTGGTAGCTGATTGGTGGGTTCCTCTAAAGGACATTAGCACCGTACTGGCATGGGTGTGTGCAACAGCTAAACCCAGAGTAACACCCTTTCACATTACTGAGCTTTCAGTCCCTCTAATGGTACTGTCAAATTATAGCAATTAAGGGCTTCTACGCGAAAATAAATATTAAGTACTAGTGTTAATTTTGCTCAGCACTTTGTGGCAATTTTAATGTAAAAATATTAAATTCTGTTAAGCAATTAAAATGATTTCCTGATTTACGTATTATGAGCGATGTATGTTTATGACTTTATATAAAGCTTGCGTGCACTCCATATTGCCAGCGAGGTCACAGATTCCCAAGAACACTATTCATGTTCACAGGGAATATTCTAAACACGCGTCTGCGCATTTTATTTTTGAATGGACAAGTGAGCAACAGTGTGGCACAGTAAACGTTTGGGAAGAGTTCTGATGGCCACTTGTGGAGGGTTTGGGGGTTTGAGCTGTTCATCGTGCTGCGGACAGTCATTGCCATTGTTCTTGGTTTAACCTGAACAATGGCCTCAGTTTTTGAGGAGGTACCAGTTAGCCTTCCAAAAATACAACGGTGTCAACAGCGTACTGGATAAGATGCGGACACACTTACCGCTGTACTTCCAAACCCAGCCACATGGCGGCTCCAAGAGCTGGAGGGTGGAGCCTGCTGGATGATACCACGAAGGCTCCTTCTTCATTAGGGTTGAGGAAGGACATGTTTTTGTATACAAGACATGCGAAACGGGTCAGTGATCATGTAAATCACATATATAACCAAAAAAGGAATAGATAACGGCCTATTATTACAATTACAAATGCTTGAAAATGCTAGCATATGCTAACATATGCTATTTTGAAATTCAAGCAATGTTTTATATGAGAAAATACCAATAACATGAGATATGCATTTTGCTAACAATTTATAACAAAAAAATCTTCCGTCCTACAAATGTTGGTTTGGCTTGCCTTACAATAATCACCAATTGTATTGTCTTAATATTTGTGCCGAAATCCGAGCCCTTGTGAAATTCCATGTTGCCCTTGTGGTTTATCCCGGCCTCCTTTCCCAATTCCCCACTTCCCATTCCAGCCGTCCCTTTCTTTGACTTCTGCTAACACCCTTTAACAGCTCTAGCATGCATGCATTCGCGTGTTTATTCGTGTAATTATTGCTCGTTTTTAATCTCATCTCCCCCAACACCCTTCCCCCAAATTATCAGAACAATTCAGCCTCCGCTGTGGCGTAGTTAACATCAAACATTTATTAATGCACAAACTACAGTAGCCAATGAATTGTGGGGATGTTTGTGATGATGAAATATCGGCACAGAGAAGGCAATCAAATGACACGGCAGACGAGAAAGGTTATTAAACACTGAAAAGAATATATTTGATAGGTCCCCATGACCTGCATTTTGTCAGGTGCATACTCAATGCAATGCCTCTTTTGAAATTTCTTCTTCAGTCATTATACACAGAAAATTGTAAGATTCCCAGGACATACATCAATAGTACCAGTAATGAAAAACAGCGTGTAAATAAGGTACCACGGCACAGACGTGGAGATCCTACGGCCCCCAGAACAGATTATTTTCTATTTATTGTCAGCTATTACCTCCCACATCTGCCTAACTTTACTCGCCATAGCATCACTCAGTCGTGGTTTTCTGTTATATAAACTGAAGCACCTAAAAACGAACGTCGGAATGATATTATATATTGTATAAGATCAGCCACTGGAAGGCAGAATGACTGAAGTTCCGTGTTAAAGCCATCAGACGGAAGCGTAATCCCTGTGACCTTGTCATTTTGTTATGTTCATGACATTCTCTAAGAGGCAGATTAAGCATGGAAGAGCTCACGCAATCTAGTTTGTTGTAATACAACAATCAGTACAATCCTATCAAATAAAAAGTTGATGGTAAAATATGGACGTTGTGGTAACACAATGGTTTACTTAAAGCTGTCATATATAATACATTTCAGGTACTTTCATAATGTATTATAATGGTCGTATAAGAATTAATAAAGCATTACAGCATCTTCTACTGTCATAAGGAATTATAGCGTTGATTTTAATACTTCATAAAATCCAATGAAGCTCTCCTCCTGTATAATGCACTACAGATACCTTCCATAATGCATTATAATGGTCGGTATAAGAATTAAAGATGCGTCATACTGCATTATGAAGGTATTTATAGTGCATTAAAGACCTAAAGCATTCATGATGTGTAATAAACATGGCTATATGTTATGCCTTTTTCTAGTCATGTTTATAATGCTTTATGAATGCATTATAATGTGCCATGAATGTGTTCATAGATTCCTATAGACATGGCATTCATAGAAAGTGTTACTGAAGTTGTTTATAGCAGCGTTAAGTTAAAATGTGAGCAATACAGTATATGGTGATTTTAAATGGCCCCCAAATGAAAAAATTCCTTAAATGATCTGGACCTAAAGCATAATACTAGAATAGAAGTTTGCATAGTGATGATTAATTATATTTTTAGATAAATAGAGATGCCTTATTAATCCCTGTGGGGAAATTCTCTTTTTGTTTTCCCCATCTTACTCTCCTTGAGACACACAGATACATATGCAGGTGAGTACAAGCCTGGGGGGCCACTGCGCAGAGTCGGCCAGTGTGCAGGGTCCCTGAAGCTGGGGGTTAAGGGCCTTGCTGCCGGGGAAAGAAGAGCAAAGGACCTTTTGGAGCTGCTCGGTGCCCCTGAGCTGAGACCATTGTCTTCCCCCTGGGCTACTGTGAATGGGCCCTAGCTTCAGACAGTGTGTGGTCCACAGTGCTTAACGTTAAGTAAGACTGCTCACTAAAGCCAATGACGGCGATGGAATGAATAAGGAATAATTATATGCATGCACAGTTAGCATTTCTATGTGCATAAATGATGTGTTTTATCTTATGGAAGATGCGACCTTCTTCTACTTATCTAAAATCTTCTCCTACTGACCTATTGTGGGTCCAGTTCGGAGGAGGACATTAAAGAGATGACCAATCCAACGCTCGCCCATCAGCAACAGGAATATTTTTAAAGGTCGGGAGACATTAAGGTGTCTTAAATATCCATAAATTTTAGACACACTGTGAAATATTAAACATATCTATGAAAAAATCATGAAAATGCCCGGAGTGGCTCTAAAAGATATTGTATGCCTCAGCAAACAACCTTTAGCTTACAAAATAGATAAATAAATGAAGTTTCAAAATTCCTGACACAAGCAATTATGGACAGAGGCTTTCTGACAGCTTCTCAGTTCAGCATTTTTCCTGGTATTTATTATGACTTGACATTCTTTGTGATGGCAAATTCAGATGACAGGGCATGGCCTGTTTGGAGTTCACTGGTCCGTTTTCCATACAGGTACACTGCTTAAATGCTCAGTTTATGATTTACTAGTAAATCTACAGAATGCTCACATTTACTGCCTAAATATATTTGCAACCTGATGATGGGTATATTTCCACTTACTATGTAGAGTCTCTGATGTGTACCTATGCACTATCACAAGTCAAATGCAGTATGTCAAGTAAGATCTTTGTTTAGACTGAATTCTGCTCAACTGCATACGAATCCATGCATAAAATGTTGCTTTAATTTTCTACTGAATGAAACATCGCCATGCAGCATTTCCTGTCATTCTACAATGAGAGAAATTCATCAAATGTTTTCTTTGGGGTCTAATGCTCACTAAATTACTGTTGAGTCCAATAACAGTGCAAATGGGGATGTGTACGAAATAGTAGAAAAACTTATTTTTTTCTGAGTTCATCACAAGAAATGAATAAACTAGAGGGCATTTTTGGCTCATTTTGGACTCACTAGAGGTTGTCTTCAATCATGGGTAATTAGGGAGGCACTGAGGTGAGGGCATGGAGCACGAGTGCACGACTACAGCAAATAATTCCAAAGGAAATAATTTATGAGATTCAATAAATCTGCCCACGACTTTAGGAAATCATTTTTCAATTACATTAAAAGGATTAAAAAGGAGTTTTTTTTTCCTGCAATTCTTCAATTCTATATATAACACAGATTTTTTTTAGTAACTAAGTTTTGCAAAAACTTTAACAGGGCTTCAATAGAATGTAGAAAAAATGTATTGACTGAGGGAACCAATACTATTATTTTAAATAACATCATACCAAGAATGCAATTTTAAGCAACAGAACAGTGCAACAGAATAGCCTTCTACGGAACACCACTCGTATACATACAAAAAAACACAAATTCATTATTAATATACAAGCATGAATTAATGAATAATTCTGTAGCCTGCTAAACCCTTCAGGATCAGTTCTTCTGAATTTCTTTAGCTCAGGTGGGTTGCCTACAAAGATCTTCAGTTGCTGTTGAACCAAAGGTTGAGAAGAGCAGATCTGCCGATGAAATGAAGTCTGACCTTTGTTGTGCACATCAAGGTGTTTATCTAAGCGGCACATTTTATACCATGAATTTCTGTGTTATGTCTGCATTGCCTACTGCTGTATTTCCTTCATTTACTCCTGTTCAAGTAGTTTAATTGTCACAGTTTAGATCTAGTTTTGGTAGTGCTAAGTAAATTAATCAAGTCATGACTGAGTGATTGGTCGAGTAAGTATTGCAAAAGTTTCTTTCTTGTGACTTCTGTGGCCTCTGGCCTGGCATAGGACTTCTTTTATTAAAAACAGTCTTTGACGATGGCCCCTGACTGCGAGTGCAGGCTAACTTTGTAGCCTTCAGACTAAACTTAACAAGGATGTGCATTTAGAATGCAGCTTTGTTTGACTGTGCACTGACGGTCTTGCATTATTTCCTGCCGACTGAGTACTGGACTAAGTTATGTTAGCATAACTTTGTTCAAGTTTAACAGCTAGGACTCTTACTTATTTCCACATCCAGGCATCACACTTTATTTGACTCTTTGGAGTCACGTAGCATATATATATATTTTTTTTCTTAGATTTGTAATGTACTCAGAGTGTGGGCAGTATGAGTATAATCTTGCGAGATTTATTTTATTAATTCTCCACTCTAATCACCTCCTGTTTGCTAATATTAGTCTGGGATAACGCACTGAGGCGAAATGTGGAAGAAAAAAACGACTTTGATCATTGAAGCTGATCTCAGTGGGTGAAAGGTGAGCGCTTTCATATCCACGTTAAGTCGAGGGCTGATTGATTCCATTTATTAAGAAGGTCAACACTGGGCTTGGATCCATTGATTTCTCAGAGGCATTTCGCTGAACAGACCATTTTATTTCATTATTTTTATTATTATTTTATGCAGGATTGTAGGCAGACATATTAGTTCAGCACTATTTACCTCATTTAGTTTTATGTACATATTTGAACTGAATACCGAATTAGATATCAGCCCACAAAATAAAACAGCTCCAGCAACAACTTTGGCTACCTAGTCTACCTACGATAAATGCTGAGAATAATGCAAAATGCAGAGAATAAATGATCGTTACTCACGGGGGGAACAGTTTTCTCTTTATATGCTTTATACGCTAATGCAACTGACCATCTGATCACTGTGCCATCTGCAGTCTTTAGAGAGCTGGGTCTCTTTATAGCTTAATATATTTAGGACAAAGTGTCATGTGATCTGTGGCATCATGAAGCGCATTTGGTAGAGGCATGAGCGCTGTGTGTGAAAAGTGCGATAACCACGGTGCAGGGCGATTCCGAGGATAAAATGAATGTTTAGCAAGGGTTATTGTCCATTATTAGGATGCAGAATCAGTTGCCGGTGAAGGCAAAACTGAAACACGGCACATTAAGGACGTACCCGGAAAGACCTACCGCCAAATCATTTTTAGGCTTTACCCACAAGCACGGCATTCACGTTTCAGTAGCCGTCATTCAAGTCATTACGTTTCGCAAACACCTCCATACTGCTGGCACACTGAAAGGTCAAGCTTGTTTTCACATTTTTAGGAAACTTTTTTCTTTTTTATTATTATTAACTAGAGAAACAGAACAAAGTGATAGTGATACTATGCAATTCATTTCCTACTTGCATCCAGTCCTATGTAAACTCTGATCGCACTCCAAAATATGAAGGATTCATGAACAGATGAATGATTCAATCATGTGGCGCCTAAATCTTGTATGTTCTGAAGCCTATACGTCATAAGTTTGCACTTTTGATCAGTAAATAGCCTACTCCTTGTAACATGACTACTACCATATGTTGATTTGAATATTACACGCATGTAACATGACAGACATGGCATAGAGCTCAAATAAACACAATGATTTGGAAGGAAAATATGCTTCTTGGAGTCCCTGACACATGACATGTGCTCCATAAGGTAATTATATATTTAGAACGGGGACGCAAAACAAGTTATGTCTTCCATAATTGCACTATAGAGAACGTTTGTCCACAATGGCTGCCTCAGGCCTGGAGTTTCTTCTTATTCTGCTGTTGGATTTTTACTGCAGCTCAGATGACACTTCCAATTTCCACCGTGTATTTCTGTCATGTACTGCTTGTCAGATCATTTGTACTTCCTGGAAACTCACCTGGACTCTAAAGGGAATATATAACGTGCCTGGAAGGGAGTCGAAACACATCCAGAGACTAATAAGACCTTGTGGAGATTGTGTTTGTACGTGTGTGTGTGTGTGTGTGTGTGTGTGTGAAGGCAGAGATAGACATGTATTTACATTTCATTACAGATATTTATACTAGAAAATAATTTATATACAATAATTCTCTTAAAGAGTAATATTCATTGTAGAATTTTTACAGATAAATGCTCATACCAGAGCAGCATGATGTCTCTGTGGGCAGAACTCCAGGACACCTCTAGGGTTAAGAGTTGGAGATCCATCCCTTCTCTACATGTGGAGTTTGCCTCTTCTCCCCTGTTATGAAGGTTTCCTGCAGGTATTCCAGTCTTCTCCCACGATACAAAGACAGGCATTTAGGTGAAATCTGCCGACCGTGTGCGTGTGTGTGTGTGTGGGTGTGGGTGTGTGGCTGTGTATGTGCGTGCATGCATACACGCATGTCCTACAATGGATTGACATCATGGAAGACAGGTGGGTAGATACTTACAATAGATTTATTTTAAATATTTAAATGTCACATTACGACAACCAAGTTGTAACAAGGCAGTTACTGTGTCTTGGGGATGTCTACAAAAGACATCTATGTTGTACCTTTTAATGTTTAATAGAGAATTTTAATAATATAAATACTTGCCTCTGTAATAGATCCGTAATGATTCATTTATTCAAATACTGAGTTATAACAATTGGATGTTATATTTGGGCTGCCTTCTTTCCCTCTCTGTTTTTTGGTATTTTTTTGTCAACATACCTGTGCCAAATATGATTTATGCATCATAGAATTTTGACAGTGTCAATCCAGGTATCATTTTTTTTTTTACAATGAACAACAACATTAACTTTTGCCAATGACGAGTAGTAATAGCTGAAAAATAATTACTAAAAGGAAGAACATCAGAAACCCTTTTCAAATATCATACCATTTTGCTGGTGTTGCTAATGTGTATTTAATTCAGTAAATGAAATATAGTTTCTTTCAAAATCTTTCGAAATTTATTGCCGAAAATACTTGTGCAGACCCGTGGAGATAAATTTTTTGACAGGCACCTGATGAAGGCGCCTCAGTAAACAAGTATCTGTGGGAATAGCCTTTGAAGGGATAGCATTTGATAGTATTTTTCAAAGGGACTTACAGAATGACAGCAATGCATCTGTTTGGGGATGTACAAAAACAAAACTCTGCCACTCTCTCCGTTTGTATACATCAACATTCCCTCTCTCCCAGCATTCCGACGGACACTGATGGAAAACATTTCAGCTGCTATAGCTAAAATGGCAAAAAAAAGAAGAAGAAAACGGGTAATGGGATGCAGACTTTACCAGTTTGCCAGACTTTACCGTTGATGCGTTTGGCATGCTGTGAACACCCTGGTTTCCAGAGTCGGTGCATCTGTTCATCTGTTGTCCGCTGAATTATTTTACCCACCAGTGGTATATATACTCTACATACATGCATGCATCTAACAGTCATTTTTAGCCATTTTTGTTGCTCCATCAGGAATTAAGTATATATTTCATGTTACATGCATTACTATTATGCATGCTATACGTTCTGTCCTAAAATACAAAATTGTACACAATTCTGCAATGAATCAAATTGAAATATTATTAGATAGTGAATTACTCTGTCAGTTTTCTGTGTTTATAACCCTCATTTTTTAATGCAGTCCGGAAAAAAGGAAAAAGAAACAGAAGCAGACAATCCTTCATTGCCAAATGTGGTCAAAACAAATGAGATCCCAACACAAACCTCCCTCGGCAGGGCACTCGCCAAAGGCGGATAAATCGGCCAGCCCCCGCCAGGGTCCAGCATGCCCGGCACTGCGCCCCAGCGGTGGCCCCAAAACGGCCCAGAACTCCGCCAAGTCAGCCTCTTATGGCCTGCCACCCCATCCCTCCTCCCCCATTTCGCTTCACATCTTTGTGGATAAAACCAGGAAGGGGCTGTTAGCAGAGCATAGGATAGGCAGTGAGCTCCGGCAACGAACGCACAGGGGATACGGAAGCATGGGACGAGGCTCCGCGGGAGCCAGACGCATGTGCGTCGCTGCGTTTCTGCATCTCTCTTTCAGATGGTTCAGACAGCCTGGGCGGAGATCGGCTGGGACTCGTGTGTGGCTTGGGAATACGAGGCGTCGTTCACGAATGCACCTCGTAATACATGCTTATTAAATCTACTAGCAATGATCATCCTTCCCATAATTCCGTGCGACAAAATCCACCGCCTAATTTCTGTTACCTATACAATATTCAGAGCTAGGGATTACCGTAACTCAGACCGAAATTAACTGTATTGCAGAAAACAGTGAGAAATTCATAAAATTAAACCATTAAGTATAAAATGCATAAATATCTAACTAAGCAATTAGTGCAGTTTCGAACCAGATCAAATGCATCTCTGTGGGCTCCATAATAACATTTTAAATCCAAAACACATGACTGATTGTGGTTCTTAAAAACAAGGAAAAAAACACTTCTCTACCATTGAAATTAATTTGGATCCTCTGCTAAGCACAGAGGACACTACCAGCTGCTACCTCTAGGGTCCAAAGCCACTGTTCATATTCATGAGGCTAGTCAAGGTTTTCATGTGCGACGCCTGCCTCCAGTTCCAAATCATGGACTGTTTCTATATGAAAGCAGACAGATGACATATAAACTGATATTATCTAGTTAAGGTCAGTAAAGCAGTAGGGAGATCTATTCAAACAAAAATCTATTTTCATATTTATGCATTTTCATTTGTTTATTTGGCAGGTGCTTTTGTGCAAAACATCTTTTTTTCATTGATTAAAGCAGATTAAAGGAAAAGAAAAACACCTTTTTCGTGGACCGATTTGGCATTTGGAAGCAGATATGTAACCGCGGCTCGTACTGGTGTTTGCAATTATCAGGTGGCTATTTATACTATTGTAAAACCTGAGTGGAGACAGAAGCCCTTCCAGGAGGATCATTAGAAATCAGTCTGTGATACTTTAGGCCGTCTATCCATTGTTCACTTGGGTGTTTGTAAAATGCATTAACCACATATTAGGTAACAAGAGGGCCATTAGAAGGAAATTCAAATCATTCGTTTTCTTGTAAAGATCTTCTTCTCCTAATTATACTCCACCACACTTACCATGTGTCCAAATATCAGTAGGCCTCCTGCTACAAGCTTCAGAGTTAAAAAAAATAATAATTATAATCTTGCTTGATTTCATTTGGGTTTTTCATGTCGTATAGAAGCAATAGAAGAATGATTTAAAGGAATATCCAAAAAAATGTGACCGATGACAGATGGCAGATTATTACTCTTAATTAGCACCATATATGTATTTATTTAATTTAAACCTATTGTATGTCAGCCCAAGATAATCACAGGGCTATCTGAATATTATCAAGCATTTATACTTGATTTTACATGGTGGGAGATGCATGCTTATTATATTTACAGATTAATTGAGGGTCAAATTCATTTTCTTCCAACAACAACAACAGCACTTAGCTCTAAACAAAAACCAAGGATAACCCATAATTATCCATAATGGTATGAAAACTTCCCCAAAGAAGAGTTTGTGGTGCTATTTATATGTCCTTTTCTATTACTGGGTTGAACCAAAACCTTCACAATTAAAGCTACACAAATTAATCCATTTTAAGCAAGCAAAAAAGACGTTAATTAACCAGCTTTCCTATAATGATGAAAGAATGACAAGTGAATATACAATGTCTGGTATCTGCATGTAGTTATACAACGATCCCATACTTCCCATTAGCAGGTGGTTCTTTATAATCATTTGTAATTGTCTCTCTCTGGTTGGGGGAGGATAGAATTACGAAGAGAGATTTAAGGATCAATCTATGGCATCCCAGTCCCTGCAGTTCTCTTAGGAGGCGGAAACATCCATATAAGGTCATTTAGAGAATCCTGATTCCTCTCAGTTACTACAATTCCAATACATGCACTTTGCAGGCCTTAAGGTG